GACCTGTCAGCAAACGCGATCTCACCCTTACGTGTTACTCTTCGCCACCGCGTCCAGTCGGACTCCGGGACTCATCCGTCTTCCTACCCAAGAGCTCTTTCGCAGAGCGTGAGGCAGATCTCTGTCTAGTGGCGAAACAAATAAAACGTTGACCTTTGTCACCATTCACTTACACGTCTTCATGATATAATGCCTAAATTCAGGTACAGTTTGACCATTATGACGATTAGATTGGGCGGGGCATGTAGCAGGTATGTGAATGATTAGAACCGTTTAAAAATCATGGTTAAAACAGCTGAGGGTGACCAGACTACTTGAAATATGTAGGAACAGGCGAAACTGCGTAATACGGGTAATAGGTAAAGGTAAAATTGCTCCTGTGCTTAATTGATTAGGCACCACATCAAGAAAATGTGTGTGGGAGTGGATGTATAGACCCACGTATTCTAACTGTCGATACTAGATGGAGGTGAGTGCTCAGCTTTGAGTCCGCATAACCCATTGGGTAAGAGGCCAGGTGAGCTCTAGACCCGGTCTGGACGTTCTGAAAAAGAAATCTCTTGCCTCTACCGGGACTCGAACTCCGACCCCTCGGCCGTCCAGCCCGTAGTCCGTCGCTACGCCGACTGAGCTATCCCGGCTCCTGCTATTAAGATAGATCGTGAGGATTAAGAAGCGTATGTAAGGAGACAGCTAACAGATCCTTTGAAAATGCGGCACCATTCAAATATTTGGGAACGGCAGTAACAAATCAAAATTTGATTAAGGGGGAAATTAAGAGGAAATTGAAATCGGGTAAACTTGCTACCATTCGGTCCAGAACCTTTTGCTTTCTCGTCTGCTGTTAAAAACATAAAAAATTAGAAGATACAAAACTATAACTTTGCCTGTAGTTCTGTATGAGTGTGAAACTTTGTCTGTGACGTTAAGGGAGGAACATAGACTGAAGGTGTTTGAGAACAGGCTGTTGAGGAGAATATTTGGACCGAAGAGAGATGAAGTGACAGGAGGTTGGAGAAAACTGCATAATGAGGAGCTTCATAACTTGTATTCTTCTCCAAGTATAATTAGAATGATCAAATCAAGGAGTATGAGATTGGCATGGCATGTAGCACGAATGCGGAGAAGATGAATGTATATAGGATACTGGGGAAAGCCAGAAGGAAAGAGACCACTATGGAGACAAAGGAATAGGTGGGTGGACATATTAAGATGGATCTTAGAGAAATAGAGTGGTGCGGTATGGACTGGATTGATCTGGCTCATGATGGGGACCAATGGAGGGCTCTTGTGAACACGGTAATGAACCTTAGGCTTCCATGAAAGTTTGGGATGTTCTTGAATAGCTGCAGAATTGGCGGCTTCTCAGGAAGGGTCTCAGTTCCATCAAGTTGGTTAGTCAGTGTGGGTGGACACTAAACTTGCCTGGTTCCGAATGGGGCTCCAGCGGAGGGCCTCCTGCGAATGCGGTAATGAGCAAGATTTGAAGCTTTTATGGCTGTAAAAGTCTTGGTGTAGTCTCGTAAGTCGACGTTTCGTAAAAACCTGATGCCAATAGCTTTAGAGGATGGAGGATAGCGGGTTTACCCGAAATGTCTGTAAGAACCTGGTGAAGACTACAAAAGGCTAATCAGCTCCTCCAGTATGACTGATATAATGTTTTTTTATTATTTCTTTCCTTTATAATCTTTTATCCTTTAATAAGTATTATCACGATGCCATGAATAAAATCTGAACCTTTAACAACTACAGCAACGTGCATGAATATGTACATTAAAATATTTATAAAGTATTACAATTAGGCTCTTTACAAGTGTGGTTTATAAAGATTTTGTTAAAATTTTAGGGCCAATTTGGTTCATGCCCTTTATACTGCCTCTCTTTAAAGGAAGTTCAGTGTCTACCACTTCGTGTTTCCGGCGTTTGATGAATAGGACTCTTGTCGTCCTGTTGTTCGGGCCGCGCTGTGCTGTTGTGTGTAAGAAGTAAAGCTATCCCTGTAACAGGTCATGAAGGCCCATAGGGTTGTGAGACGTTGAGGGTCCCACACTATCTAGTCAATCGACTAAAAGATGGCGGTAAGGTTGTCAGCCTTACGCGCCGGCCGCGCTTTACTCCTCAGGAAAATTATTTAATTAATTCCTGGTACTCATTTCTGTTAGAGGCTGAGTCGACCCCAGGGCCACAGTGCGGCTCGAAGGACTAGGTCCATTGAAAAAATCCAATGACCTCGTCGGGACTTGAACCCGCGATCTTCCGGCTTGTAGCATAGTGCCTCACCGTGTGTATCTATCTATAATATGTATGTGTTGTTATTGTTGACCGACCGTCAGTCGCAATGAGACTTTGACTTTGACTTTGACTTGTGTTAGTATAGTGTGTGCTGTATTTACAGTTATTTTTGGAGTGTGTACCTGAGTGAATGTCAGTCCAATAAACACAGTTAACAATCCAAACCTCGTTTCTAGTCACACTCAGACGCTTGAAAATATTTTATGATTGAGCCTCGTGCGAATTCCGTTACATTCATGATGTTTTCGCCCACTTATTATTCAAGTCCATTGATTCTATAGAAGATATAATTAAATCAAAATCGTCCAGTTCGTTTTCAAGAAAACTGACATTTTGCATCTGATGGGCCGCTGTTATTTTCCAGAAGATGCCAAGTTAGAAGTTTTATTTGAGAAAATTGTGTCCATAAATTACTGAAAATTTTCACAGTCGTCATAAACGTTTGTATAAAATCCAAAGTTTGTGTCTTGAGACCCTTGTGAAGGTCCCCTGTTTTCGGAGCTAGAATGTACCTGCTCACCTGGCACTTGGCCCATGATGTATGAACTCGTAAATACCGAATATGAGTAAAACCCCTTTCAGCTGTTAGGCCCATGTGTCACATAGAAATACAGATGGCTGGCATGCCAAACCCGCTTTTTCATATTCACGGGGGCCGAAAACGCGTAAATCCGTTGGAATATCAGGATCTATATTTTTACGATCATAATACTCTATGATACTACGAGGGAGAGAAAGTGACTTGGCGTGAGGACATCGGAGTCGTCTTGAACGATTGGTCTAGAATTTATGGCGGTTTCTACTTCCACTAACGGTGTTCCAAGGGCTTCTTCATCGATTTGGCTTTTACCCAACACCTTTCTTAGGCAACGTTTTACTGTTCCCACCAGGCACCCCGTGATGCGATGAATTTCCACAATATACCGTTGTGGGCGAAGTGCCGACTTGTTCGTTGGTCGGCAAAAACCTGACTGAGCTCTGCAAACTCCTTGCTAGCAGCGTGGAACGGCCTCGTGTTGTCAGAGTATATGCTGTGTGGGATTCCTCTTCTTCCGGAGAACCGTCTAAAGGCCATTAGAAACTTGTCGGTACTCATATCCGAGGCAAGCTCAAGATGCAGAGCTCTGGTTGTTGCGCAGGTGAAGAGTACGATGTAACTTTCTGTGTCAGGCTCCCCACCTTGACATAGAGGGGACCTGCGAAATCGACACCGGTGGCGGTGAAGGGCTTAGTGGGCTTGAGACGATCGGGTGGCAGTGGCGCTTCAGTTTCTTGGACTGGGTTATTTTTTCGCAATTTTGCAGGGCAGGCAGTAGTATAGTGCCTTCTTTATCGTCTATCGGTCTCTGAGGATCCAAAACTCATCTCTCATCTCTGAGAACACCATGCGAACCCCGAGATGATGTAGGCGAATGTGTGTCTGCTGTATTAGCAATTCTGTGAAATGATGTTGCCCATCGAGTAGGAGTGGGTGATGCTGCTCTGTCGTTAGCGGTGCAAAGTGTAGCCGTCCGCCGAGACGAATGAGTCCAGCGTCTAAGAACGGGTTGAAACAAGCGATTTTGGATTCTTCCGTTTGGGGAGTGTTGTTCCGAAGTGCATAAAGCTTGACAGCGAAGCATTCCTCTTGTACAGTCTGAATCCATTAGGTACGGGCCGCCGCGATTTCCGCCACAGTCAGTTCGCCTCGAAGTTTCTCTCGAAAGAGTAGTGATTGTTTGAAACGAAAGATCCAAGCGGTCGTGCGTATCAACTTCCAGTAGGAACTGAATCTGGTAGCATCTATCAATGAAGAATGAATTTCGAAAAGATCTGGTTTGGTCCGCGGGTGGTTTTCGTCTGGCAGCGGGCTGTTTATAGTGTGACGGTTCTTGGACCATTCTCGCGGATGAAGAGATAGCCGTGAAGGCCCATGCCACCATTCATCCAAAGACTTCAGTCGATCTGCTGTGATGCCCCTCAAAAGATGATTAGCCGGATTGCTTTCTCAAGGGCAGTGTCTCCATTGTGAGGCTTAGTGAACGTCAGTCCTCCACAAATAGAGCTTTCAGTACTTGGACTGCATAGCATCAGATTGTACGTGTAGTATTGCAGATGACTGATGAATTGAAGAGGATTAGGAAGGAAATGGTCATGGTCCAACTAAGGCAAACTGAAGTAACCTACAAAAAATCTCAGGGTAGCAGGTTCCTAACAAAGATTTGAACTGGCCACCTCCAAAATACAAGTGTGCAGTGTTACCTTTAGAAGAGAGCCCATGCAACGTCTGTCCATCTTCATTATTTCTGTCTTTGAAACAGTGAATATTTGTTATTTCTATGACATTGGATGGGTTTATTGTGGTTGTACGCCAAAAATTGTGTGAGTTTAATTGTTGTCGGTATAAGACCAAGTTTGAACATTTTTTGATACTGTGAATGTTTACAAAGTAGAATAAAGGATATCTCTATGCAGTGTTGTATCTGTAGTGTGACTTGTTCTGCAACACGAGATTTGTATAGGCAGTAAATGAATGTTAAGGGCAGTGAGCTGTGGAAAATTTCCAAGAACGAGTTTTGGAAATTTGTGCACTGACTCTTCAAAGGATTACATTTCCGTTTCTCTCTTTCAGGTATAACTGCCCAGTTTTAAAACATGGCATTAGCTTGAAAGCCGGTTCAACCTCCATTCAGATATTCTCTTTTGAGTCTGTCTGTTTTATGTTGCAGAAATGTAAAGACCCAGAAGCATCTGCTGTGGACACGTTTGCAAGGACTGAACCACCAGACACACAGGTGAGTGACAAGGGTCACTGGTTCAACAGTTCGGATATTGTGGCATGTCTTACCAGACAAAATACAAAGTTCATTGAAATGAAAACAGAAAACCTTAAATTTCACAAACGAGGAGGAAACTATGCATGTGTCTCTTCACTCTAGTCCCCACACACTCCCTCCAATGCTGCATTAATGCCTGGATTCCTTGAGAGAATTTTATTGGTGTTAAAGTCATTTGTGCACCACAGTATTCAGATCTTCACCAAGTATGAATTAACATCCTCTTAGTGAGTTTTTTAGTGGCCAGGAAAGGTGATAATCTCACGGAGCCAAACCTGGTGAAAGAGTAAAATTCTGGAATAATTTTCAGCAGGTTTTATTCCTTCTGAATTAAGAAGTCTGATTACAGATTGCATCTTTGCCTTGGTGCATATCTGAAAGAGTGTCACCACCTTGAAACCTGGCAGTTTCCAAATATTGCCAGCAGATGGCGCCATGTGGGTTCCTGGTGTTGCTAGCAGACTTCGTTCAGTAATATGATACAAGGTTATCATCTGTTTTTTTTGGTATACTACCCATTTTTGTTGCTTTTCGGTTTTCGTTTGAATGACCTTGTAATTAGTGGGATTTGAATGAGCTTGTAATTAATATGAATTTAACGTTGTTGTCATGTTGTTACTTACATTCTGAATACAGAGACCTGAATAGAATTGTCACATTTCTATTCTTTGATTTGAAATTCCTTCAGTACACATTAAGCAGACTGAAGGTTCCCATGTTTTTAGTTGGACTGTAGGCAAATTCCAGGATTGAATTTTTATTTTTGGCAGTAGAGGTGACAAAATAGTTCAGGCTGGTCCTCGTTGATGTTCAGATATTAGCCCATTAATAATACCGTTCTGTATGACTTTTGTATCTGATCACTGATCCTCAACTCACTTAAAACCCAGAATGGCAGTCCACCTTAAGAACAACACAAATTTCACGTTGTAAATTGTGCAGGTGAAACACAGCCTGCAGTTGTGGATAAGATAGTTCCTTACATTACATGAAGCTCCAGTGATAAATTCTGATAGGATATTCTGCATCTAGGCTGATGTAAGGCAAGGTAGAAGGAAACAAAAATGGGCAAGAGATGCTCAGATCTTGGCTAAGGGTAAGATATTCCCACATTCCTTCGTATAGACTTGGAAGTTCCATTTGTTTGGCTGCAGATTAGTTGTATATCAAAATTTAGTGAATTAATTGATGGACTGCATTATAAATAGACATTGTTTCTGAATCTCTGTGATAATTTCTTGGGCAGAAGGAACAAAACAGGAAATAGGAGCTGTGTTTCAAATTAAAAAAAAAACCAACATGCTTATCTCAGAAGCCTCATGGCATTAGACAAGCTTCAGACTTTGCAGAGTGAGGCCACATTAATTTTCATAAAAGTAAATTAATTTTAATACACTTCACTGATTTGGAACTTCATGCAATGTAAAATCTTTGTAACTACAGCGTGAAACTTCATATAAACTCAAAGTGATTCAGTGTGTGGCATGAAAGAGCTGAATTTGTTGTGGAGGCCCTGGGCAATCAAATTGTCAAGGCCCTTGTAAGTAACAACGAATGTAGGCTATGACATTTCTTTTTGTGTGTTATTGTTATTGTTATATTCAATAGTAGCTAAAAGTACGGACTAACTTTTCGAGTTTTTAGAGAAACAAATGTCTCAGTAAAATCTGTGTATTCTACTTCAGTTTTGTGGCGGCCCTGGGCAACTGCCCCAGTCGCTCTTCCTTAAATTTGGCCTTGAACACTAAAGTGTCAGTTTCTGTAACTCATTAACGATTTTGATTTAAATGATTATTCAACATAATAAATTACATCAAATTGAATAATAACAATAATAACAAGTCAACAGTGTGATGAGAACTATTTGTCACAAATTGTTTAGAAATGAGCATTGGTAAGCTGGAGGCTGAAGGTTGTGTATCGTAATACATGTGAGCTTGTTAGACATAAGCTGTAACTTTTATGCACATTTCAGGAAGGTTGTGTGTTCGTTTGCTTTCAAAGTTCTGTGAATGAAGTGATCTTCAGTTGATAATATAGCTGTGTGAATTCACAGTACTGTTTTTATGATGTGCGTGGACAGCTTACAGTATAATCACAATGTCGCTTTATATATAAGGTGGTAAAACAAGCCTGCTGCATACATCCTTCATGTCACACCATGTGAACACAATTGGATGGATTGGTGGAAAGAAGAGCATGACTTTCCTGTTTGTTTGGCACGGTGTGATCCAGGAAGCCAGCTTGTGCTGTTTCTGTCTTAAAAAGTTCAGATGTTTGGGGAACAGTAAAAATAATTGCCCAAACATTCCTTCTGCAGTGAAACCAGTGCCATGTGGAGATCTTCATAGGTCTGTACCATCTATCACCTAGCTGGAAGGAATTTTCAGTTCTCAATGAAGATGAGGAAGACCATTTAGAAGGTCCCGCGACATCTTTTGGTCCAAGTTACATTCTGCAGAGTAGCCAAGAACCATGCCTAGTTAGCCAGTTGAGTTTAGTAACCTGTAGGACACTTGGGATCAAGGCTGACAGTGGAATTTTTTGATCAGTGACAAGAGGAGACATTTGGAAAGAGAAACCAGACATTATCAGAAATTTAGTATATGCAGGATTTTCTGTTTGTATGCCTAGATATAAGAAAACTAATGGAAGAATGTGATTTGAACACAAACCTGAAGAATGAGAGGCTTTTATTGATTTGTCTAAGGAGTCAAAAGCCTTCAGTACTAATTGCCCATGCCATAGGATTGAAGGAAACTTACAAGAACATGTCTCACATGCTAGACATAATCAAGAAAAGGCACTTCATCAAGATGTGATTTGAAGACTATTCTTCTACCGATTAGATTTACCAAGTGCTGCTGTTTCCTCTGCTTGTGAGATAGTTGAGGAACAGAATAGCACACTGTTATGGAGTGGCTGGTGTGAAAAGATGTTTATTCCTGGGAATAACAGTGTTTATGATATTAATGGATCCTTAAGTTGTACTTCCTCCTGCATTGCAGATATCAGTATGCCTAATGGGAAATTTTGTGAAGGTTTTAATAAAAAAAGTGATGACCTAAATTATGGAAAGCAAACATTTACAGCACAGTGCAGCTCAGAAGTGAAGGAAGATGCTGTTGTTGGTCTGCAAGTTGGAAAAATTTTACATGACAACTGTTGCACAAGGATATCAGTGTAATGGAACAGTGGTTTCCAGAGCAGATTCTGCTTGGCTGCCTTTTGGCCCCAAAGATGGAGGTACTACATTCCTCCAAAATTTTAGTAAAGTCTACCAGGCTACATGGTATAATCTCCAAATACAGAACTGTTAGTAATCACAGGTGTTGGAGCATGTGACAGAGATATTCAAAACTGACGTTAAAGATATGTCAAAGGAAATTGAAAAAATCATATTTTACAGTGTTGTTGAAGGCATCTTGTTACATGGAAATGGAATGTGGCCATTGACTGAAACATTGAGGAACGAAATAAAGGTGGTTGAAATTCGTTATTTAAAATATTTTTAATTAGGGGTGTCCGAGATATTTTAGGATGCTGTCAGTAGCGAGACTACATAGTGTTAAATGGTAGGATAATTGATGAATTGGAAAACAAATTTGGAAGGAAGCGGTTGTGGCATAATTGAGGTACTGCCTGTAATTTTCCAGGGGGGTCTGAGGAAAACAATGAAAGCCAGTCTTCCAGCTGAGATCTGAACCAAGAATCCCTGAATGTAAGATAAAAGCATTATCACTTTGCTAGTTGAAATTATTTAAAATTGAGAGCAATTAATAAGTTCTGTTTCAATCAGGATTCATCTGTATGACCATTTGTATGTGTGTTCACCATGCTGGTCCATGAGCTAACTTTGCATTCCATTATTGAATTATGAATTTGTATTTTATGTGAGATTAACGAAACATTATTTGTAGGAATAGAAGTATGTGCAGTAGCAATGGAGGGTCCAAGAGTTCTACATTGAACTCCAAATACTCCAGTTGTGCCTTCCTGTCTGCCCATCCATCTGCATGTTCCAGCTTGAAAACCAGTGCATGTATTTTAATGACATATACTATTAAAGTCTTTCATATATAAAGTTGTAATGCTCTTTTGATTTTGTAAAACTTGACATAATAAAAGTATGCCGTCATAAGGGAGTATTGTATGATAGGATGGTATAAACATCGTGATGGTGGTAAACCTGCAATAATATAATGAGAGGAACAAGGATGAGATCAAGGGAGTCCTGGAAATTGTGGCAGTAAGAACTACCGATTCAGTCATTTCGTATAGTCTATTGTCATGCATGTAGGAACTTCTGCAAATATTATGTAAAGAGCATGTGTAAATTCTGTGCTATAGTATGAACTGAATCTTACCAGGCTCATTAATATTATGGTACACCTTTACAAAACAAGTGATGAATACTAATATATTTTGTTTATATTTAGGACCTGATATCTTTAAAGTGTGGCACTATGTAAGCTGTTGCATTACCTCTTGCTTTTTATAAACTCCACTGAGTGTACAATTAGTTTATATAAAGGAAGTAGGTAAGTGAAAGCTAACTAGTCTAAGGAAATAGTCTGATATCTTTATATATTTTGTCCCTTCTGCCATGCTTCAGTTTATAATCTAACCTCCAGCTGCCAATCTCTGAAACTGAAGAGGTTGGAAACAGAGTCTTTAAATCGCAGATTATGGTTAACATACCGTGCCATGTCATGCCATGTTTGAGAGCAGATACCATCTGATATACTCCCTCATAAGTAGTTTGGCTTACAAATAGTATTGTATGTGTAATATGTAGGTATGTTTATGATCTGTCTCCATAATAGCAATCACCTTTAAATCAGTAACTAAATAAAATGTTCATACTGCTGCCATGTTCTCATTTTACATTATATAAATGAAAATACTATAACAAATGCTGCATATTTTTCCAGCATCTGTTAGAATGCTTCATTTCAGTGTACAAAAGCCAAAGCACAAGTATCACTCCCATCTAACAAGTTCACACTTCTCCCATTTTGTTATTATTCACTGTAGCAAATTAGGAAGTTGGCCTCCAGTGGCATAGCATTCATATCAAGTTGTGTGGAAAATCAGGCAGTCGGTCTAAAGTTGAACTGCTGGAACATATGTATGTGTGCATGCAGCGTGGTAATCCAATAAGCCTACTCATTTGTCTAAGAGTAAGAAAAGAAGGTAGGCATATTGCCAGTGTGTGCAGGTTTCCACTGATATATGTTGTTTTGTACAAATTTTCACAAGTCTCTTTGTTGGTTTCTATAGTATTGATGTTGGTAGTTACAAGTAAATTGGGGGATATGAATAAGTGGTTGATATTAATATTCTCAAGAAGAAATTGGTTATTTTGAAACAGTAGGAATGCATACTGTAATTTGAAGGAAGGTTGTAAATATTAGTAAAGAAAGTATATAGATTATTGATTCTGGAAATGTTCATGAAGGAATGTTTTTATTGTTTTTATTCTGAGTGTTATGGCAGTGGTCACGATTGGCAATACGATTCAGTCACAACCACTAGAATTGATATTGACAGTAAACAGAATAAAAAATAGATGTTTGTATAATGATGAGAAATTACCTGGAGAATACAAAATATCATGCATACTAAGTATACTTCAGACAATGGATTATGTCTTCTGTAAATATGGTGTAATGAATAAATCATTGTCACATAAACTTACAAAAAATTATTAATATAATTGGAGACTTTTTTTAAATGACTCATATACCATTTTTTTATGAATGCAGGTAACCAAATCTGTGATCTCACTGCTGCGCTACTATAATTGGAGGAAGTTTGTCATACTGTATGAAGATTACTGGCAACCAGTAGCCATGTCACTGGAGGATCAAGCTGTGAGAAACAACATGACTGTGAAGCATAAGCGTGCAGTGAATGATAACATCAACTGTTGTGAGAATGATCTGCCTTGTTGTCAGACCAGTTACTGGTATCAAGTGATGCAGGCCACACGCAACATCACACGCAGTGAGTAGCAACAGCACATCTTCCTATGTACCTGTGCATCTGACTTTTCCCTTCCAGCAGACTGATGTGTTTCACCGGATGTTCCGTGATCTCATCTGATGAATGTTTACAGGTTGATTTATATTGAATATATTGGATTTGAGGTTCTCACAGCAGTGACTATGAATAGTTATGCCTTGTGAGATGTAATGCCATGTAGTCCGGTGAAAGTCAGCTGAAGTTCCAGAGGAATGTATCACCTCCATGTTCCAGATCAAAGAATATAAAAGAAACCAGAGATCTGTCTGCTGTGTGCTTCATGCTGGCTTCTTGCATGACTTGTCTTTGACCATGAGGATGGAAGTGATATATTCCTCTGAAGTGTGTTGACTTTCACCAGACTGCACATTGTTATAACCCAGAAGATATAACTCCTGATGTCACGTATGATGACCATGAAATATCCTGCTATGGAAGCCAAATGTTAATCACCGTATTTACAAAAATATATTGTTTGATCCCGTCTTGAATGGGTTCATTTCAGTTCATACATTCACAGCCTCTAACATGTATTTTAATGTTATCCTCCAGTAATTATCTACGAGTACATCTTGCAAATTATCTCTTTGGTTGAAGATTTTAAACAAGAGTTTTTGTTTGCATTTCTCTTTTCCACAAAGTGTGATGCATATTCCAGTCATCTTGTCACACATGATTAATCTCTCCTACAATACCCATCAGATGAAGAACACAAAACAGAGAAGCTATTTGCCCTGTAATTTTCTCTCTTCCTCAGTAACTTCCTTTGTCGTAGGTCCTGATGGTTGCTCCCATACACTGCCTCCCTTAATCTTTGATTATCTCACAAAGAATATTTACTAAGGGCTGAAAATCAAAAGTCAGTATGCACAGATTTGCCACATTTGCTTGTAGAATATACCACAGTTTTGTGTTGTAGTGTTTAGTCATTGTCATATTCTCTGGTACCAGCTGTTAAATTTTGGGATGGGTTGTCGTTCCTAATATAGAAAATTGATCAAACTTGTAAAATACTTACTGGACCAGCATCTTATAGTACTGACTGTAAGGACTGGTAAGACCAAAGTAATATGAGCTAGACAGCAGGTTACACCCTTTATAAATATACAAGGAAGAAATGATGCTAGAATTACAGATGCCCTAGGAAGAAACTGGAAATGCTGTTGAAAGAAGCTTGGTTGGGTTACCCCCCCCCCGCAGATCCACATTATAAAATTTTCAGATCATAAAATGAAATGCTTAGGAAGAGTTTTAAGAAGATACTAAGTTCTGTTTTGCAGTACCCATAACATGATGACTTGGTCTAAGGGCATTTAGTAAATATGTTGGAACAGATACTGAAACTTAAAATTATGATCATACTTTTTATCTGCCCTTCACATGTTAGGCTTACATTACTTCTGATTTCATAGCCGTCTGTATTAATGGTCTTCTGATGAAGTTTTGAGGTTATCATCATGGTGCTTCTTCAGATTATGATCGTCTGTGGCAGTGTCAGTACATGCCTGTGTTTTAGAGGAACATGCTACCCCCATCTTTAGGTTTGAGTGTACAGGTTTAGGAATTAGCCCAGTTCATTAACCCTTGTCTCAGTGGAATGGCTGGTGTTTCCAGTATACCCCTATACTTCCACTGTATGCAGTATATGTCTGCTACATTCAGACCATGTCATCGCTGTTGGGTGGGACAAATGGAAGTTAATTACTTTTATCAGAGGAAGGTCTAACATTTTAATATTGTGTTTATATAACAGTGTGCTGATGTGGTTGGAGGTGATCTGAGGGGGAAGGTTTAGGAAGGCAGCTGTTGTGTGGTCCTCCCCAAAGCCTCTTCAGTGTTGCTAAGCTGGACTGAGATCCCATCAGATCTGTTTCATGCTGTTGCTATTCTCATGGAAGTTTGTTCTGAGTGTGTCACATCCAACTTGCAGATGAGTTGGCCGTGTGTTCGAAGGTGACAACATACATTGTTCAGTGGATGGTGATGTGACTACATACAAATAGAGGTAGGCTAGTGTGGATCAGCTTTGTGTATGTTCCATAATCCAAGGAACCATCTGGCCTTCTCTAAATGTTAGTGCCTAGCAAAGGGAGGTGGCTGCCTGTGTCATTCTCCATGATGAACTGGCTGCTGTGGTGTGTGCTGTTGTTGCAGTTCAGAAAATCCATCAGCCTTTCTGATCCATGGGGTCAGATCACAAACATGTCAGCAACATGGAAACCAACAGTGGGGCTTGTATGCATCACAATTGAGAGCAGCCATCTCAAAATCTTCCATGAAGAAACTGGGTGTCACGAGTGATAGTAGCGAATCTATGGTGACTTCATCTGTTTGTCTGTAGAGCTGGCCATTGAAAGACAAATATGAGGATATCAGGATGCAATGGACGAGGCTCAAATTCTCCTTCTTGACTTTGCCACTCAGAACCTTAAGTCCATCCATAATGAGCACTTTGGTGAAGAGAAACAGTATCAGAGCTGTTGTGGATGTCACCAGGAAAGTCCAGAGCATGGATGAAGTCTTCAGAATTCTCTTACACGTTGTGAGGAGTCACCCAGACATGGTGCCTGTACTCCCACTACATGTCTTGCAAGGCTCTATCTAGCTTGGTGCTCCAGTCATTCTGATGATGGGTCTGGAGTGACCTGCTTTTTTGGTTACTGTCAGGAGCCCATATAGCCTGGGTGGCACCAAACGTTGTCACAGATGTTGAGTGACATCTCACAGAAGTGAAGACCTTGTTACTAGCCGATCAGTTTTGCACCCCATAGACTATGTGGGCACCATAGCCAACATCATGTTTGCTAGATTGTGGAATGAAGCAGTGACCTTCTGTTTGTAATCAGCTGTGTTGAAGATGACTGTGGTGTTTGCCTTTGTCTGCTTGCAAGGCTTGAGTTCAGCATTACCCCATACCATATGGAGTACCTGTTTCTCTGCTGTCATTAGGTTCCCTGTCTGTGCCCTGGAACATTTGATTATTCTCACATTTCCTGTCAGACCTTTTCTTCAGCTTTAATGTATTTGTATCCATTTGGTTTGTACTGAAGGGCAGGTTTTGGGCAATCTTATATTCTTCCATTACCAAATAAATATCCAGATCCCTATGTATAGTAGTGGCAGTGATTGTGACAAGAAAATGGTTTTTCTTTTTGGCAACTTTGGCACAGGTGGCGTCTTCCTAGTGAAGCTAATCATCTGTGATAGAGGGTGGTTGCCAACACTGTCAGCTACTTCATAGTCTCATTCCTGTAACAGGTTGTGGAAGCCCATAAGGTTTTGAGATGTCAAGGCTGCCACATTTTCTACACAGTCAGCTCATGGCAGTGAGATTGTCAGCCTTATGTGCCAGCTGCCCTTTACCCTGTGGGTTGTCAAATCTGTGGCGTAGAGAGACAACCATGTAAAACTCAGTAGCCTGAGCGTGCGACAGTGTTCTTCTTTGCAGCAGCCCAGGGTTCTTCCATGCAGCACCCTGGTGATTGCAAGCTAGCTGGCCAACCCTGATGAGCGCTGGTGATCGCTGACGGAGTTGGCTGCTACTAGACTTGCTGTTGCGCTGTTCTCTTGATGCATGTGTACTTGAGACTGATGTGACTGATGCTAGCATGTCAGAGGCTGCATTTTTATACTTTTGCCACTAGGCGGTGGACTAACCAATGGGCGTTGGAGATCCTGTGAGGAGTGTTGATTCAGTAGTGCTTGTTTTCACTGTGAGGGGTTCCCACAACACCCAGTAAGATTCCTGTTACTCATTTCTGTTAGAGGCTGAGATGACCCCAGCACCACAGTGCAGCTGGAAGTGTTAGGTCAATTGAAAAATCCAAAGACCTCATCAGTTACTACTTCATTGAATCTGTCTTCATTTGATAACATGCATTTTGTTCTAGTATATGTGTTCCTGGGAAATCCAAAAGTTCTTGTGGAAATGATGAACACCATGCATGCCCTCCAGATGTTTGACAATGGCGAGTACATGGTTATCACAGTGGATATGGAAACTTATTCTTACAGAGAGGCTTTCAAATATCTTTGGCGTAAGTATCCCTATCATTTAGATATTCGTAATTCTCAGGACCCATATTCTGTTCCTGCATTTACTCCAGGGGCAACATTTAAACGGAGTCTGAAATATTATTGTTGATTTTAACATATTTTGTTTGTCCAGTATCAGAGACCAAGTTTTCTTGTTGATTTCTGAGTTTCAAATTTGGATTAGAGAAACCATTTCTTTATTCTTTTGAATTTGATGGAAACTTTGAAAGGAAAGAGAAGACATTTGCTGATACTACTTTTGTGACTGGAGATATGTGAAATGAAAAAGGGATGTATTTTTAGTGTGAAGTATAATAAGCAACTATGGTTCAATGAAAGTATTGTTCAGCAAATGTACTGCAGTCAACTCTTCCAAATTTTGTTAAAAATTTATCATCACAGGTGCTACACTTGCCAGTGAATAGAACCATGCATGATTTATATGTGTGTGTGTGTTTTTATCTGTTAGTGCCATAAACTACTCTATGCCTGAAATATGAGTTATTTGTATATGTATGTGTATGAATGTACGGACTGGAATCAAAGGAAGAGAAAGAAGAATTTGAAAGAAACCAGCAGAGGAGGAAGCTTTGGAAGAACTTAAAACATGGAATGGAATTAAAAATTTGGGGTGAAAATGTGGTCTGATTGTGGCATTTCATGGGTGATCTATATTTATCCTAGGAACAATATGAATAAACAGATAATTTATGTGTGTATGTTACAGTAAAAACCAAAATCCATTACTACCAGTTCTTAAAATAAAAACTATAAATTTCAACACAATAGATTAAAATAGTATTCCCTAATAAGAATTGGACTTACTGCTGCTGGTACAAATTTGAACCAAAATTTTAAGACCTACCGCATTGTCGATATAAATGTAAGTTGCGGGTTTTTGCCATTACAATGAAATACCCCATATTTATCGTGCATATTCTTTACAACGTAAGAAAAATAATGTCCCAAGTATGGGCCATACTTATCTGTCTTTTTATGCATCTGTGGCCAAGTATCCATGCCTAAACCACTGGATAGAAAAATTCACCATTGGAGACCTTCAGTAAAAGTTTTTGTGAAATTTCGATATTCAGGCATGTAAAAGGTAAATTAACTAATTAAGGAATCATGTCATGAAGGTGCATGGGGGAGTGGATGTATTGATCCATGTATTCTTGACCTTGGCACTAGTTTGGGGTGAGTGTTGAGCTTCATGCCCTGGCCACTTTACTCCCAGGAAAAGAGCCGCTGGTGCTCACTGGATTGGAGGCTGGGTGGGTCCCAGAACCAGACTGGATGACATGGAGAGGAGAACAGTTTTGCTCTTACTGGTACTCGAGCTCTGACCCCTAGGTCATGCAGCCCATAATCAGTCACTATACCAACTGTGCTATCCCAGCTCCCATATTCAGCCATATTGATTCATAAAAAGTTTCCTCTCCAGTATACATCAAATTATAGACAAACTTTATGTCCATTGATAGTTAAATGGACAAACAGATGTCTTGGGAAACTGTTTCAAATAATGGAAGTAATCCATATGCATAATTTTGTGATCATTGAAGTTTCTTAATGTCACAAAGAATGTGTTAAATATTTAAGAATGGTCTGTTACATGTGATAATCATCATCCTGTGATCTGTTTGTGCAGTGTGTTCCTTTATGACTTAACTGATTTTCTGAGCATCCCTTCTGTGTTTGTGTAATATGAAGCTTATTTATTGGTGACTGTAATATTTTGGGGGTAGACGGGTACCCCTAACATCCCTTACCTCAGCATAGAGTGGTTGTGCAGAGAACACACTGGCACAAGACTGTGTATGATAGTTGTATGGGGGACAGACTTGATACAAGACTGACAGTGCATTCTTTCAGCTTTAATATTTTGTGCTCATTCATGTATTTTTATATATATAGAACCAGAACAAATGGAAAAAGTGGAGAATTGTGAACAACATCAAAAAGGATTTTTAAATCGTGGACGCTCACTTCTTGTGGTAGTCTCCAGCCCACCAAATGAAGCTCGATACAGGGATTTCACTAGCAAAGTTGCAGAATACAACAAAAAAGAACCATTCAACTTCACCATGCCAAGTATCTTGCAGAAAGATGGCTTTCACAAGGTAGGTTATATTCGGCGTCTGTAGGGACACTTTGTTTGTATTCTACAGTTCGGCATTCCTTTTTAATATGAATTATTACAGAATCTTTATTAAATACTGAGCAAGCATGACTCAGCAAAGTAGATCTGATATGCATCTTACATAAGATTTGGCTGATTTTGAACAGTTTTATGGTGTATACCCTGCTAATTGTTACTGGAAAGAGGAAGCATTGTACACATAGTGATTACACTCCAGGAAACCTGTGGCACTGGAAGTAAAATTGGTAACTTGGGGGGGGGGGGTAATTTTTAGTGTAACCTGCAGTTTTAACATTGCACCTATGGGGAATAGCAGTTCACATTATGAAATTTCCCCATTATGAATCTCTCCAGGAACAACTATTCATAATAGTGAGGACTCCCTGTAGCCAGTTTTCATCTTAAGTAATGCCTTCTGTGGTGACTGGATTTCTCATAATCTCTCTAAGCAGATACCAGCTTTACTCTTTGGAAATCATGAGCCTATTAGATCAGCTGTAGGCGGTTGTGGTAAAATTGGCACAGCTGTAGAAATCAGCTCATTGTTATTAAGAGTAGTTAGTCAGCAATTTTCTCCATAGATGGCATCAACTGTGGCATAGTGATACTTAGAGTAAAGAAGGACTTTCATGTGGTCGTTTGAAGGTCATAAGAGAATTTATAGTTGTTTTATCCCTAAGCATCTCTGGTATTCTAGCAGGAAGTTCTGTGGTGAGACTTGGCAGTCAAAGGGCTAATTTAAGTGCTTTCCTGTTCCTTTCTCTCATTGCTATAGAGACAGTGAACCTTGTATACATACTTTAGTATTTAACAATCCTGCTGCATTAGTTGATCACTTGATATTTTCTGTGACCACTTTCTCAAAGAATTTGTTCACATACTTTGTGTTTTCTCCCCCAAAGCATTGTATGAATAATGAGGAATCCAAAAGACAGACCTATCCTCTTGTAAGAGAGGATGCTCCACCATGACAAGTGTATAACTGTTAAACAGTAATAAATATTTCATCATGACACGGAGACCGACTGACCAACTGACTGACCATCAGTTGCAATGCAACTTTGACTTGACTGAGAGTCCGTTGAGAGTACAAGGATGAGAATTGAGCATGACCATTGATGTTTGTAGATCAGCGATTAATAATGAATAAGAGTAATTGTAAATGAAGGTGTTACTAATCCAATCATCTGATCCAGATCCCATAATTATTAGTTATGAAACCCAAAAAACACATGATTATTCTTGAAGAAGATGGATATGTAAGAGTGCAAATAATTTGTTTTCTGAAATTTTCCTCTGCAGTAAGTGAAACTAAAGTCCAGTAAGGTATCTAAAATCACAAAGATGGATTTGGGTAATATATGTACTGCACTGTGAAGTTTTGATACCAAGCCATGTGAAACTCCATATGAGCATGCCATTGTGCAGTGTCCTGTTCCACTGAGTGGGTTCACTTCGTGGTAGCATTCTAGATTCATACATGGCAGTTGATGCTCACTTAAAATTTTGGCCAGGGTACCATCTATCTGTGGTTTTCTTTAGCTCCTGCAGTCTGGGATAATACCTCAATTAAGTCATGACTCCTTCCTCTAGAATCCTTTCCAATTCAACAGCCATCCCATCATTTGATACTATGTATATAGTCTGTTGACTGACATTGCCATAAAATAGCAGACAGTAAAATCCACCCCATTTGGTATCTTTTTACTTTCTTTAACTTAATACTGTGGTGACTTTGCATTATGTATATAAGAAGAATTTATGTTCATCTGAAACATGTTTGTGTTTATGTGTTCTTATGCTTTCAGTATGTATCGATTTATGCAGCCTATCTGTACGATGCTGTGATGTTATATGCCCGAGCTTTGGACATGCTTCTCCAGAAATACGATGTTGTGACAGAAGAAATTTTGCATAAAGTTGCCAGTAATGGAACACTGATCATTGAGATGCTGAAGAATCATACATATGAAAGTGAGTGTTCTGTATGTCTTTGTCACAAGCTGGGTGTGAAACGCCTCAGTTTATGGGTAATGTGAATGCTAATTTAAAACTGGAACCTGATGAGCTTTGCCCAGGAACCCCACTATGGTCCCTTGAAACTTGATACAAACCTTTTCCTGTGTGTACATGCATGGAGGGGGTTGGGATACTCTGGTGTATCAACCCCACCGATTGTCTCATTTTGTCACAGTTTATGAAGCTTCTGGGGAACTGGTTTCTTTATTTTTAAATCTTTCTGTTTACATTAACCCTGAAACAGATGTGGCAGCATGTAGTTAGCAGAAGTTACTGACATTTTGAAAGTTATGTATTTCCACCAGCTTCAGGGTTTAACCTTTATCGGACGAACGTCATCATATGATGTTGTTAAAAGTTAGGGCAGCTGGCCAAACGTCATCATATGATGTCGCGGATTCCACGCGTGTAAGGTTTTTTTTAATATTATATTAAAAATATAAGTTGTTGTACTATTTACATGATTTTTGGTCACCACCTTTATAAGGAGACAGCCTTCCTTCCTGCATGAGCTAATGTAATCTAGCGACGTCATATGACGTTAAAAGTAAGGACAAATTGAAGAACGACATCATATGATGTCGCGCATTCCACGCGTGTA